CCAATCTATTTGTGATTGGCAACAATACATTGGGATGTTTAATAAGTAAAATAAGTGAAGTTTTGAAGCCCTAATTTATAATTGTCCATGTCAAATTAACAACACACCATTATATTATTATATGGAAATGGTTAGAAGTTTATTTTACTACTTTTATTTTATTTTAGTTTTTTGCTATATGTCATTAAATGGTTTGATGGCATAGTGGCCACCAACCTTTTTAGGTGGCTAAGGGTCATGGGATTGTACCCTCCCTTGCCCACCTAAGCCAATTTCTCTAAAATAAAATGTTACGATGCTGGAGCTCCAGTCACCTATCACCACGACCCCCATCAGTAGGAGGGTCTCCGATGACCTCGTCGTTAGTGGTGGTTCGATGGCTGGCACTAGTGACGGTGTGATTTATTTTTTTTTAATTACTTGAGAGGCAATTTCATGATTTTGCTTATGAAATTAATATCAAAGAAGGACCAAAGAATTACAGTGTAAATAGCAAATCATTTAGTCCTTATGCGACATAAATATTATACAGTGGTCCTTGAATGCTATTTTCACTTTTTTCAATGTCGAGCTAAAGTTGTTTGATCAAAATTGTAGAGTTTTCTCAATGGGAAATTGGAAATTGTACCCAAGGGCCAATCATTATACTATGAACATTGTTATTTAATGAATTTCTCTTTTGTTATCATAATAATTGCATTTTCAATATGATCTGTATCCCTGAACAAATTATAATGATTGTCCTAAATGTCCCTGGTCGGTCATCTTTGAGGGATCATAGATGAAACAAGACTAGTATAACTTTGATTAATTATAAAGATGAAAATTAAAGTCATAGGCACTTGAAAGAGTACAAGGTGCTGGACCGACCCGCTATGAGAAAGTTGCATGGTACAAGTCATAAGCTTATCTCATATGTAACTATATCACTAAGTCTTTTGACCTAAGATCATCATGGATTCCTACATGATGACCACTAAACTTTGACCTAGTCAAAAGTCACCTTTGAATGGGTGATCATAAAGGCTATGATTGAGTTTAGTGATATTCATGCAGAGGAATATGAGTAGTCAAGATGAAATTTGTCCCTCACATTAAGTGAGAGATATTACTGAGCCCCTCAATGAGTAAGACTGAGAAAATGTATGGCTATACTACAATAGAAAGGGTTTTTTCATTGCTAGTGTCAGTCTACTCAGAGATTGAGAAAGTAACGGTCAGGTAAAGGAGAATGACAATTCCATGTCTTATGCTTGACTGAAATATCGTGTGACAAAAAGAATGTGATATGATTGTATGATATGTTACATTGAATCATCGATCCCCATGTGACTTGGGTAGTTGCAATGTCTTGCTAGAAGCCACTTGTGACTTGTGGACTAATAGCGTAATTAGCCTACTGTCAATTTCATATGGCCCTACAAGGTCGTACACAAGAACAGCCCAACTCGAGCTATAATGTCCAAGTTCATTGAATCTGAAATATGTCTAGATTCAATGAATATAATATAGGATGAATGAATTATATATATATATTTGAATATTTATTTGATAAATATTTATATATACATTTATATGAAATATAAAATTCAAAATATAATTATATATATATATATATTTTTTTCAAAATATATATGTATATATATTAGATATATATATATATATGATATATAAAATTAAATATAGATAATATAATATATATATATATATTTTTTTTCTAAATATATATGTATATATATTTGTATATATATAATATAATATGTATATGTGATATATTATATTATGTTATGTTATGTTAGTTTTAAATTTAATTTTATATGATAGATTAAATTTAATAACTAACATGATATGAGAGAATATCATATCAATTTTATAATTTGAATTTATAAGATAAATTCGAATTAGATATGATATTATGGATTAAATTTATGAAATAAATTTAATTAAATTTTTGTGGGCTTTTAAGTGGAAGACGAAAACCCTTATCTATATACTATATATAGATAGGGACATCCTTTATGAAAGAGGAGAGAGTTAGAAAAGTTCTGATGGCAAAAACACTCTGAGAGCCATGAAACGCCCTATAGAAAGGAAATTTAACGTTCAAAGAAGAACGGACGTTGAGAGCGCTAGCACGCTGTTCGAGTTAAAGAGCTGTTCGTGTGGATACCAGTATAGGGAGCAGATCTACGTTGTCAACTCCTGATATCCAAACTCTTGAAGAGAACGTGTGCCAACTTCAAAGAATTAAAAGGTAACTCTTCTATCCACCTTGATTTAAATGAGTTCTTTCGGTCCATATCAGGATAGGGACTTTAAAATTTTAATTTTCCGCTACGCCTCCCTATCCAACATGGGATTCAACCTATTTTGTGGTTTGATCAGAACTATATGTCTCAAGTCAATAGCATTTCAAAAACTACTCTAGAAAGCCTTTTAATTTTTATGTTGCACTAAGTAGGCATTATACTCGAGTTGCTGTTGTTATCTTTGTTTTTAACACTACAACATTTTTATTATCTAGGAACAATTCAAAAGTGTTGCTATAGGCTTGAAAAATGTTGCCTATTACTTTAGGCAACAGTTTTCTTACCTTTGGCCACAGCGTTTGTAAAACTGTTGCCTAAAACTATGAGAATAGGTAATAGTTTTTGGGAGACCTATTGCAACACTTTTCAAATGTTGCTTTTCACATAAAATAGGCAACATTTAAGAATTGTTGCGAAATAGTTAAATAGCCAAAATGTAATATTTCCTTCCTCCCTCTAGATTCGAACCCAAAACCTATTGAAAGAAATAGATATCTCAAACCACTCTTCTAACTTGACTTTTTGATATTATAATGCAAAATATAATATATATATATATATATATACACTTGTTAAATTAATTTTTTAATTTATCCAAATAATGAATTGAAAAATTAAGAGAATAAATAAATAAATTATCTAAAAAAATTATAAAAATAAATTAAAAATAAATTTTTATGTTTAGAAAAACAACAAGCAACAGTTTTTAAATGTTGCCTTAAAGAGAAACTATAGGCAACATTTACATTTTTGTTGCCTATTTGAATAGGGAACATTTTTAAAATGTTGCCATAAAAGATCCTTTATAGGCAACAATTTTTGTGTTGCCTATTCAAAAAAATTATTGCAACACTTAAAAACTGTTGCTTATTCTATTTTAGGGAATAGTTTTTAAATGTTGCCAAAACTATGTTGCTTAAAATATGAAAACAATAGCAACATACGAAAATGTTGCTAATGCCTATATTAGGCAACACTTTTAAAATTATTGCAAATAAAACTGTTGCCTAAAGCAAAAATTGTTGTAGTGTAATGAAGTTAATCTATTATGTTTCTGTGTTGGTGAGACAATTAATGGTGCAATTATGACCCTTCATCATTTTTATTTTTATCCAAAATTGTGGCAAGTGTTTTGGAAGGCTAAGAACTAAACCTAATAATAATAATTCTATTCATTTTGAATTTTAATATATCAACTCATAATGTTTTTGTTACTTTGAGGTATGAAAATAGCATCTTGTTGCTACTAACAAGCAAGTAAATGTAATCAAAAGGATCATCTTCCAGTGATGAATAATTTTTCTGAATACAATTACACCTTTTCATGAAAAGTGAGCAGCTAGAGGTTATCATTCCCTTCTATCCCTTGTTTTTTCATGAAAAATTAACAATCTCTTAAAAAAAAAAAAAAGCAAAAGAGCACTTGGACAAATTCAAAATATAACATTTTTTTATGGAAAAAAAAAAATCTCATCCCACAGAGTATCTTCCATTCATAATTGTTTTTTCAAATATAATTACACCTTCTCGTGAAAAAGGAGCAGCCAGCACATTCAATGGGTATTTGTTTTCAATCATATTCAGAACTCTTCAACCTATGCAAATTTTTTTTCATGGACACTCGTCAACAATGGTGCAATAAATCTTCAATCATATACAAAATTCTATTAGCTATGTGCATGTATAGTCACTGGGAGTAATTTTGTCATTTAACTTTCTTTTTTCACTCTTGCAATGGACCTTGTTCTTTATACAAATTTTCGGTCCTTCAGGGAAAAAAAGTTTCTAAAACAGAACTTTTCAACAATTTGCCCCCTTATTTTTAATTTTAGTGCAATCAGGTGTCTAGATATTATCAAAAAAAATTGAAAATAATTAAAGTAATCATAATCGGTTACGTAAAACGGACTGAAACTAGTTGCAATAATGATCAGGTCAAAAGATTATCCCAAAAAAAAAAGGATAAGATAAAAAAAATATTAATTGGAATATCAACAAATATTTAGTTAAATACACTTTAGAAAATTACAAAAAAAATGACAATTAAGTCCCCAAACATTAAATTAATAACATTTAGGTTTGGGCCGACATTTCAAAAGAAAAAAGAAAAGAAAATAAGTTACAAATATCAATTTAGACAGTCATAAACCAAAAAGGCAAAATACAATCTAAGAATTACATTTTAGTGTTAAATGCCTTGTGTGCAATTGAATTTTAAAGTTGCAATTTTTTTTTTTTTTTGCCAAACGAATTTACAATTGTTTAAATTAATATTTGTAACTCAATTTTAAAAAATTTTGTCAAAAACTTAATTATTATTAATTCAATATTTTAGGACCGAATTGTCATTGTTTCAACTTACAATAGGCTAACCCTCAGCCCACCCACACATAAAATTCCACACAACGAGCCAAGGAAATGAGAAGTTGTTTATACAGGGGCAAAGAGAGTAGCTAAACCTTGATCAACAATCACTTGAAGTTGATCATAGGTCATCAAAGTCTCTCTATCACACTGGTAAGTTCCTTTTCCCCTTGCCAGAACCTCACCATCTACATCAATGATCCCTCCCTTCTCTTGCTCCTCCACGCGTGATCCAGGTTCTAAGAACAAAGCTTTTACCTGCAATTAACTTCTGTTAAAACAAAATAAGCAATGGAAGAAACATGATGAATCCAACAAAGTGATCTCACCTTAAGGTAGATGACATACGGAGATTTCACGTGACGTCCATTGCTCATCTCAGACATCACTGACAGTAATGGTAATCTTGGGCAGTCCTTGATAATGATTAAGTCCGCATAACCGTCTGAGAACTGCATGCACCATATTTACATGACACAGGAGTGAGAATAATGCCTCTAAATAACAGATTAATATCTCAAAGCATTAATTCTTCAGATGAATCTTAAATGTAGTACAAGACAAACCATAAATCATCGCTTATTTAGTATCTAATTACAAAGTCTCATAGTTGCTCAATCGTGCAGCGGTCCGAGCATCATATTTTGTACCCATTTGTTCTATATATCATCGCTTATTTTATTATTTAATTACCACATCATTGGTACTATAGCCATGCTCATTCCAACTACTAGTTCTCTTGGAAACTCCATTTTCATGATTACATGACAGGTGCATTGAACCCATACTTTTATAACCGCTGGTCACTAACGGCTACTTAACTAGCATAAGTTTACCCTCATCCATATATAACTTAACATACTGATGATGTGTATCTAATGAAACTCTCCACTGATATTATACTCAAAAAGAACAACTAGAGTTAGTCTTGGCACGAAAACATACATACCATTGAGAAAATAAAAGGACACTGTCAGGATCATAAAATATTCATTTCATTATTGTGTAGATATTATAGCTTAATCATAGGGATAAGACATCATTATGAGACATTAAAGTCATGTATCCTCTCTCTTGTATATATGCCCCACTCTTCAGAAAGAATAAACAACATATAATCAAACCAAATTTGTGTATATGGTAACACATCATCGTTCTAAATTTCATCAGTTTGCTGAGTGTTTCATGCCTCTGTCAGTAACCTAGGGTTCGTGAGAACCATCCTCCCAGTGCTTCGTGTACAAATAAAACAGCACCCGACATGCTCAAGCCAGCTTTTGAGAAGCTAGTTGGTACAGAAACTGAATGAAAAAAAAAAAAAAAAACTCGTTTATTCTCTGCAAATCTGTTCGTCCATACACAAAGGAAAGCATCCTATCTATATTTTATACTACTGCGATAGGAAGGGAATCACAACTGAAAGCAATAAAAGGGAGACGTTTATGTAAAACAGATGCATGCATGTTAATGGAGTTGGACAGTGTAACGGTGCAGCTGACTGACGTTATTCTGTTTGATCCTCCCTAGGTTGGACGAAACTCACCCTCAAGTCAAATTCAGCATCATCATCAAGCGACAAGTTAGCAACATTAAAAGTTGCGGAAACTCCATAAGCACCAAGTAATTCAACCTTATAAGCATTGTTGATCTTATGAACAATCCTAAATGGTCCATCAACTCTTAGAGACAACTAGCATTTGGTTGTTTTGGAAAACGTTCTTTCCTCAAATGTATACAAACCAAGTCTCCAACATTAAAAGTTAGTTGTCTCCGATACTTGTCGCATTGAGCCTTGTATCTCAAGGTCTGCTTTTTGGATTCGTTCGCAAACTTGCTCATGCAGCTTTTTAATTTCCTTGGCCCTTTGGTCAATATCAGAACTATATTGCTGCTTATCAAATGAAGGGGTCAAGTCTCGCGGACTAAGGGGACAAGTGCCATAAATTACTTCAAACGGACACTTCCCAGTTGCTTGGTTGACAAAGTTATTATAGCAAATTCAACTTGAGCAAGGATGAGGTCCTACTGCTTCAAATTCTTCCCCACGAAACTGCGAAGAAGATTACCAATAATCTTGTTTACAACTTTAGTTTAGCCATCCATCTGAGGATGACTAGCACTGCTAAACTAGAGCTTAGTCCTCATCTTTTTCCTTAGTGTCATCCAAAAATGGCTGAGAAACTTAACATCACAATTAGATGTGATCGTCCTAAGAATGCCATGGAATCGGACAATCTCTTTGAAGTAAAGGTCAGCAACTTGAACAGATCATTAGTCTTTTGACAAGGAACAAAATGGGCTCTTTTTGACAAACAATCCATGAACCATTACAGAGTCTTTCTGTCTTTGAGTACAGGGTAAGCCAAGGACAAAATCCATGCTCACATCTTCCCAAGGTGCCTCTGGAATCGGTAAAGGCATGTATAACCTAACATTTTGACCCTTAGACCTAGCCAAGTGACAAATTCTGCATCTCTGTACATGCCTGTTGACATCCCGTTGAAGTCATGGTTAGTAAAAGTTCTTCACAAGGTCAACTGTTTTATCCCGTCCAAAATATCCAGCTAATCTACCGTCATGCGCTTACCAAATTATTGCTTCCCATAATGAACACTAGGGAATACATAGGGTCTTTCCACCAAATAAGAACCCTTCATGCCTATAGTATTGGTAGAAAAGTTGTTCTTTAGTTGCTTCCCACGCTCCTCAAAAAATGAGGATCATCCCGATACAACTCTTTGACAAGGTCAAACCCAACTTTAGTCTACATTGTTGTGAGCAGCACATGTTGACGGCTAAGAGTATCAACTACAGAGTTCAAAGTTTCAGCCTTATGCTTCTTAATAAGGAATGGATAAGATTACAAGATTTCACTCCAACGTGCATGCTTGTGGCTGATCTGCTAAAAATTTAAATACTTAAGGGCCTCGTGGTCAGAAAAGAGTATGAACTCTTTGTTCAGGAGATAGTGACTCCAATGTTGGAAAGCTCGAACAACGGTATAAATTTTTTTGTCATAGATAGAATACCTAAGCTTAACATTGTTGAGCTTCTTATTGAAAAAGGCGATGGGATAGCCCTCTTGGCTTAGGACAGCACCAATGCCAGTGTTGGAAGCATCACAACTAACTTCAAACACTTGATCAAAATTGGTAAGAGCTAGGACAGGAGCTTCGATCAACATCTTCTTAAGTTCTTTAAAACTTTTATAAGCTTGCTCTGTCCACTGAAATTTATCTCCTTTGGTACAATCTGTAATTGGTGTAGCAATAGAACTAAAATTGTGGATGAACCACTTGTAGAAAGAAGATAATCTGTGAAAGCTTTGAACTTCTTGAATAGATTTTGAAATTAGCCAGCTATCAATGACTGCAACTTTGCTTGGATCAACTCCAACACCCTCTACGGTAATGATGTAATCCAAGAACACAACTTCACTAGTGAGGAAGGTGCACTTCTTGAATTTAGCATAAAGCTTTTGTTTTCGCAAGGCTTGCAAAACTTGCCATAAGTTATCTAAAGTGTTCTTCGTGACTCTTGCTATAAATAAGATTATCGTCAAAGTACACAACAACAAATTTGCCAATTAAGGGTCTCAATATCTGATTCATCAAGAGCATAAATGTGCTAGGGGCATTTGTCAACCCAAAAGGCATCACATTCCACTCATACAAGCCATCTCCGGTTTTGAAGGCGATCTTCCACTCATCTCCTGGCTGAATTCTAATTTGGTAGTATTCATTACGAAGGTCAATTTTGGAAACGGTAGTGACACCATGCAACTGGTCTAACATCATTGAGCCGAGGTATTGAAAACCAATACTTAATAGTGATCTTGTTGATAGCTCGGTATCCAATGCACATTCTCCAACTCTCATTCTTCATAGGTACTAGAAGAACAAGTACAGCACAAGAACTAACACTTTCTCAAACCAACCCTTTATGCAACAGCTCTTCAACTTGCCGTTAGACTTCGGCATGTTCCTGGGCACTCATCTTGCAAGTAGGCTTGTTAGGAATGATTGCTCCTAGAACAAAGTCGATGGCGTGCTATATGTCTTGCATGGGTGGCAACCCTGGTGGTATCAAATCAAATATCACATCTGGAAATTCAAACAACAAAGGCATGACTCTTGGGGCACTAGTAGTCTCATCATTCACCTCAAGCACCAAAATGAAGCTCATCATTTACGCCTCAAACTTTATCACCTTGAATTCCTCCTTGATCATCAAAGACACCAATGCTTAGATTCTCTCAAAGATTGGCTAATCTCACTGGGCGGTAGAAGCACTAGTGCGAATTTGACGCCATCTTTTGTGAAAGAATTGGTGTTTGTACGCCTTTTATGCATAGCATGTCAATCATATTGTTATGGTCTCCCCAACAGAAGGTGGCATGCATCCATAGGAACATCACATAAAACTTCATCACAATACTTGTTCCCAATAGAAAAAGTCATAAAGCATTATTTAAAAGCTTTTACCTCATTCCTCTTATTAAGCCAATAAAGCTTGTAAGGATACGGACAATCTTGTGTTGGCAACTTCAATTTCTCGACCATGCAATCAAACACTACATTTTCACAACTTCCATTGCCAATAATGACATTACAAACTTTTCCTTGGGCCACACGAGTGTGAAAAATGTTGCGTCATAGCCAAGGTTCTTCCTTAACTACAATTGTATGCAGACTTCATCTGATCACCAATGCTTCACCTTGATCCGCAGGCAAAACCTCCTCATCATATACTGGATTAGTTTCAGACCCAATCTCCTTCTCATCTTCTTTAGGTGCTTCATACGCGTGCCCTTCCTTAATGGTGACAACCCTCCCGGTAGGACAATTCGCCGTAACGTGGCCGAATTCTTGGCATTTAAAGCATTTGATTGCTTTAGAGCCAAATTCCTTAGTGGCATTTGCTGGTGGCTTGTGCATAGCGCTAGTTTGCGGCTTGCTTGAGAGGTTGGTCTGCCAAAATTCCGCCTTACGAGCAACTGAATAACCCCTGGAGGGAGTGAGCTAGAAGGATGATCTTTTGGGCGTCTGCTTCTCAACACGCATGGCTAGATAGATTACATCATCCAAGGTCCGATACTGCTAAAGTTGAATTGGACGACTAATGTTAGTGTTTAAGCCTGCAAGGTATCAGGCTCTTGTTTGCTCCGCCTCTTGAATGTCATACTTCATTATGAGTTGTTCAAATTTTCTGGTATATTCTTCTACAAACAAGGACTTTTGTCAAAGATTTTACAACTGGAGAAAATTATCCTGGTGGTAATGAATTGGTAGAAATTTTTTGGTGAGCTGGCATCTCATTTTTTCTCAGGTCTCAATGTTGCACTTCCCTTCACGTTCCCGCTTTCATCTAAGATTTTTCCACCAAATGGAGGCATGTTTTTTGAGTTTGAGAGCAACAAACTTGACTTTCCATGCATCTAGAATCTCCTTAT